GAAAGCGGAAGAAGGGAGGGTGAAGGAAGGTAGAGAGAAAAGAATGGAGAGGGGAGAAGAAGAAAGGCAGAAGAAAAGAGGCACTTTAAAATCGAGAGATAGATAGATATCCCGAGAGATAGAGAGAGGGAGGAAGAGAGAGAGAGAGAGAGAGAGAGAGAGAGAGAGAGAGAGAGAGAGTATTTTCACCTTGACGCTGTATAAAGTCATTTAGGGTAACATCTCTCTCCTATCTTGAGATTGTTTTTAGTTTTGACTATATCAGACATTATGTTGAATGTTAGTCTTTCATACACCGTGACGCTATTTAATGTTTTGTATCATTTTTGTATGTTTTTGGTTTTTTGTGGGGTCGAAGATTAAAGGCTTCACTAGATAGTAATATTCAAAGAAAAAGAGGCTGATAACATGAATATACAGTAAACCAACACACACACACACACACACACACACACACACACACACACACACACACACATAAACACATGCACACATGAGCGCATTCTCTCACGTATGCACGCACACATGCACGCACGCATACATATATACATACACACACGCATGCACGCACACACACGCATACAACAGTGTCTGTGGTCTAGCGGTTAGACGATTCGCTGCCGGACGCAGGAGGCCTGGATTCTGTTCCCGATTGGGGATAAATTAATGTTAAGCGGTTAAATCGATCTTTCCGCTGTCACATGTATGCTGTTTCCCTCTCAGCCGGAGTTGACCTGACAGATTGGGTAGGAAGCCCGCCTCCTAAATGATCTAAACTGTAATTGATTGGGGGGGGGGGGGGATTAATACATTTTAAAAAATACATGCATGCCCTCCAAGGGATCTTTAACGGGCACAACTTGCACACAGGACCTCCGAGACTTTTCGCCCTTGTTCGAGAAGTCTAGGTGTAGTTCTTGCCTACCATAAGATTAGGGGTGTGGCTGAAAGATAATAGTAAAAAGGAGCCACGGCGTAGCAGTAGAAATGCTGCAGAAAGAGTCAGGAGCCCAGAGGAGGGGCAAAGGAGGTGAGGGGGGGGGGGCAGAAAGTGGAGACGAAAGCAGCCGACAGAACATTGCTAGAAAGCAAGAAAGGGAGTGAGAGGAAACAATTTTAGAGAAGAAATTTTCCGTCGCTACCCGGATTCGAACCTGGGACCTTTGAATGAGAGGCAAACACCTTTGACCCCGAGAGCCCGCATGCATAAATATGCTTGCATACAAACACACAGAGCAGCAAACAAACAAAAGCGAAGCTGTTCGCTGACGCTGTGCGGCACCTTGGTCTTTCTGACAAACATACCACAAACACCACTCATCTTTCCGCTGTTGTCAGCTTGAAATGTCACCTCATTTTAATTGGATGGAGTTCACTGACCACAGCGCGTTTGATTTGTTTGTTAGAATGTGTTGTTGTATGCTTTATCTACAGCACGAAGGTCACCAAACTACAGCATGCGGTGTCAGTACATCTGGCCCGCTGCCATGCTATCATCATACGGAAAAAACACTTAAATTTGTTTTTTATCTTAAAAGCCTACTCATATCGATTTTAGACCACCAAGGGATCTTTAACGTTCGCATCTTGCACACAGAACCTCCAAAAATGTTCACCCTTGTCCGAAAAGGCTAGGTGTAGATCTTACCTGCCCTAAGATCAAGGGTGTGGCGGAAAGACAGCAGTAAGAAGGAGCCAAGGAGAAGCAGTAGAAAGGCTGCAGAAAGAGTCAGGTACCCAGAGGTAGGGCAAAGGGGGTGAGAGGTTGGAGGCAGAAAGTGGAGACGAAAGCAGATGACAGAATATTGTTAGAGAGCAGGAAAGGACGTGAAAGGAGAACATTTTAGAGAAGAAAATTTCCCGTCACTATCCGAATTCGAACCCGGGGCCTATTGGATGAGAGGCGAACACCTTAACCTTCAGGACACGAGAGCCCCCCCCCCCCCCCCCATTTGTAGTGCGTTTAAGACTTGGTAACCAAAATATGTAGATCTATATTATTAACTAGAATTCTATCATAATAATAAAACGTGCTTTTATAAGTTTTAAATTGTGTTATGTAAATTTTATTTTGTATAGGCTATATTGGTGGGTGGTTGATAGGTGCTCCGGTTTGGTTTGCTCCCTCTTTCCCATCAAACATCTGTCGTTCTGATCTCTCATCTTTCTTTTTATTGTTGTTGTTGTTATTCTCTCGTAACACCTCTAATTTTCGGCACGTTACCAGACTCGTAATCGCGAGATTGCGGGTTCGGGGGTTCGAGCCACAGCTCGGTCCGACGTTGTGTCCTTAGAAAAGTCATTTTACACGAGTTTCCCACCTGGCTCGGTCCTTTTGGAGATGGACGTTAAACTTGGAGGTCCCGCCTCTTAAATAACCTAACAGAGTTGATAGGGGCGTTAAACCTATACCATTTCACCATTTTTAAATGATGTCTCGCCTGAAAGTCAGTGTGGCTTCCGCTCCAAAAGGGCCACAACAGACATGATCAATTTCATGACGACAAGAAAGCCGGTCTCATAAGCAATGGAGATATGTCTAAAGCTTATTGTGTGACAAAATGGAATGGACCAGGGCTGTGTGTTGGCACCAACACTCTTCAGCATCATTTCTCCAGCGATGATGCACGAATCATTCCAGAGCTCTCTTACTTGCCGACGGGGTGGCAACGTCTTCAACTCCTGTAGGCCATAGTGAAAGGAAAATACGAGCACGGTACATGTCCCCCTGTTGATTGTGGATTACTTACTCATAAAGAACCAGCATACTTAATTGTATTGAACTCAGTACCTTAGGACTCACAATACGCAGAGCAAAGACAACAGTTCCTTTCCATCCTGCCCCTAATGATACACTGACCCTCCACCCTCCACACGGACGTTCTAAGAAGAGCAAATGCCCGAGAGTCTGTTTTCTAAGCCCAAAAGGATTCAACTTCGCTAGCGGTGGGGCAGGTTATATCGTAAAATGCCTAATTTCTGAATCTCAAAGGCAGGATTCACTTCCAAACTGTGCCCAGGGAAGTGTAAAGTTGAGCGCAAAAAAAGCGCTACGAAGACACTCTGAAGATGTCTATGAGAGATTTTGGTATAAATCCTTCCACGAAGGAGAGCTTATTTCTGACAGACCCACTTGGAGAACCGCTGCCTCAGTGGACTGCAAGTCGTGTGATGCATCACGAATAAAGAGTAATGGCTGAAGCCAAGAGAGAAGCTGTAAACTGAACTTATCCAGGAGCGGAAATGTTCAAAGTACAGGGTGTCTAAAAAAACGAGGACCCATTTAAACAGCAATAATTCAGTTATCTATTAACCAATTTTAATAAAACTTTGCTGAAATAAAATTCAACCATGAAGATTTTACATTTCTCAATATGATAGCAATCCATTTATTCATTCGAAAAATATCAAATTAGTAAAGTTTCAACCACATGTTAAAATATCTCTTTCGATTAATCAAGTTAAAACAAAGTTGAAAACAGTGTTTTTCAAAAAAGTATATTTATAATGCTGGAACTCTATATCTGAAATATCTGTATTTTTTGTTGTTTGTTGGTTTGTTTTGTTTCTTGAAATTTATGCATGTCGTAGCAGTACTGAGCTTTAGAGCTTGTGTGTGTGTGTGTGTGTGTGTGTGTGTGTGTGTGTGTGC